CTTGAAACATTGCTGCTTCCACCAGGGAAGAAATCTGGCTGTCCTGCTGGAAAGACCATGGGGAGGGAAACTGAGGTACCCTGACCAACCACCAGCCACGTGAGCAAGGCCATCTTGGACCATCCAGCACAGCTGAGCCATCCGACGATTGCAACCACATGAGTGACCCAAGCAAGATCAGCAAAATGAGATCCCTCCACCCTATGGATCAGAGATCAGCAAACTAGTTATCAACCATGGGCCAAATCTGACCCACCACCTGTTTTTTGTAAGACCCAAAACCTCAGAATAGTTTTTACATTTTTAAATGTCAAAAAAAAAATCTATAGAAAATAATGTTTCGGGGCTCCTGGGTGGCTCAGTCGTTAAGCATCTGCCTTCGGCTCAGGTCGTGATCCCAGGGTCCTGGGATCGAGCCCCGCATCGGGCTCCCTGCTCGGCGGGAAGACTGCTTCTCCCTCTCCCACAACCCCTGCTTGTGTTCCCTCTCCTGCTGTGTCTCTCTCTGTCAAATAAATAAGTAAAATCTTTAAAAAAAGAAAAGAATGTTTCTAGGACATGTGAAAATTATATCAAGTTGGGATTTCAGGGTCCCTAAATGAAGCTGCATTGGGAACTGCTCATTTGCAGTCTGTCCATGGCTGCACAACAGCAGAGCTGAGTGGCTGTGATGGAAACCGCGTGACCACCAAGCCCAAACTATTTACTATCTGTCCCTTCACAGAAAAAGGTGGCTGGCCCCTGCTTGCAGGCTGCCATCAGACTAACCTTTAAACAAATTTTTATCGTATTCACTCCGAACCCTTTGAAGACTTCTACATCCTTCCTCAAAGGAGTGAAACTTTGTCAGTCTGACTCCCTTGTCCTTAGTCAGATCTCAAGAGTTTGTGACCTAAATTCATTTCCTATGACACTCTGTCAGGTACTCTCCATTCTGGACCAACTGGTCTCTCAGCGGCCCCACAAAGTCATGAACTGGCATGAAATGCCTTTAGCTGGTTGGCTGTTCTTGCCAAGCAGGCTCTCCCAACCTGCTGTGATCTAAGCCCTCCCCATCCTTCTCTCAACCCAGGGTTCCCCAGCTCCCCAACCAAGAAAGCTACCCTAACTGCTCTGCCAAATGTTCCCCTGGGTGTATTCTTCCATCCAAGTACTAACCAGGCCCGACCCCGCTTAGCTTCCGAGATCAGACGAGATCGGGAGCGTTCAGGGTGGTATGGCCGTAGACTCCCTGGGTGTATTCTATGGGACATCAATCCCAAGGGAATATCCTTGGGAAAAGGTCTCTACCCTCTCTTGGAGTCACCATGCCCATATTTGGTATAGTAAAGGCTCCGAGAAGTTTCTGTTTCCCTTTGTTTAACGCAACGTTTCTCAGACATATCAACCAAGGAATTCATCTTGTCTTCAGAGTACTTGTTGACCACCAGCATCTAGTACAGTGCCTGGATTTCTTGTTGGAGGAATGAAAAATGCTAATAGCCCACAGAACTAGGGTTGCACAGAACATACTTCGGAAATGCTGCTCAAACTCTTCCCTCTCTCCCTCTGATCTGAGCTGTTCCCTTCCCTGTCATCTATGCCACACCACGTAATGCTAACCATATCATCATCATAACTATCATTTATTCAGCCCCCACGGGCTGTGCAAGAGATAGCACTAGACCCTTGAAAACGTCCTTTCAATCCTCATAACCACTGAAGTAGGTAATGTTATTCTTTTCTTGCCATTTTGCCAAAAATCAAACCATGGGTCAGAAAATTTAAATCACTAACCCGAGATAAAGTTAAGTAGAAAAGCTACAATTTAAAACTGTATTGGTCTAACTCCAAAGCTCATAGTCTTTCTTCTCTGCCAGAATACCTCCTGATAACATGCCATAGCCAATGTTGCTGGCTGTCCACCCAATATTCCTTCCTGCTCTCTTCCATGCCAGCAGAACCCTGACTGTGTATGCAGCGACAACAGGTCAACCGAGGCAATGGACCATGACCCATCTAAACCACTCACAATGGTGTTCCTACTTCCCCAGCTCCCAGCATTGCCATCTGACCGAGTTTTGGCCAAGATGACATACTTAAACATCATCTGTGTGGTAGGTAGCAGGAGGTATTCTGGGGAAGCGAAACGAAGACATGAATCCTTTATCCCTGCACACTCCTCACCTGGCCCCCCTCATCCCTGCCTTGAACCTGGGTGTGATGGCTAAAGCTTCGAGAGCCGTCTTGCAACCATTAGAAAGAGGTCACTGAGAACTCAAAAGAGACATCAGCCCCGATGCTACTATCTTACTTGAACCAACTCAAGCAGCCATCTCTCCCCAGACTTGTTGCTACACGAGGAAAAGAAGCCACTGTTCACTTGAACACTGTGGTTGAATTTTCCATTTCATGCTGTTTGAACATATTCTTCACAGACCCACATGCTGCCCTCCCATATCATTTGCTGTTTGGACTTGATCGTTATTTCACACCTATATTATTAGCCTTGTCTCCCTAATCATGCAGGACACTTCTGGAAGGCTCAGTCCATTCTGTATATTTTTGTTCCCATGGGGTCATATGCATGCTACTAAATTTTGCTTATTATCATGGTTTTCAGGGATGGTCTGTACAATGTACTGCTTACTTCAGTGTTTGTGAGCAGGGAGTTCTCATCATCAAATTGCAGAAATATGCCCCCTATCTCCTAATAGGTGGGTATTTCTCAGAGTGTGGATGTGAAAACATACATCAGAAACACCTGGAATGTTTCTTAGATGCAGATCCCTGGGCCTTCCCCCTCTCCCCCGACTCTGCCCAGTCCCACCTGAATTAGAACCTCTGGGGTTAGAGGCCGAGAATGCACATTTTTAATAAGCTCCCTCGGGCGGTTTTGATATACAAAATGTGATAGTTTGGGGCATAAAGAACCTCGGTCCAATGCCTAGGCAAGGTTCAGCAGGACTTGGCTGCACCTGGAGTTACCAGCCCTTCCTCAGTGGCCTACCCTCACCCCAGGGCCCCGAGAAGCATAGACTGGCCTGACTGCTGAAGACCCTTCCCTGCGCAGTATGGGTAAAGTGATTGTTGGGCATGCTCTGTGGCATCCTGGGACCAGGAAACTAACCACCAGATGCACTCTGAGTAACTGCAACCTCTTGCAACTCCATCCCCCGGTTTTCAAAGAAAACCACTGGGCAGGAAAGAAGCCACGAAGTCCAGGGTCCACTGTGACCATCGCCATCATCCATGGAGCTGATGGACCAAGTTGAAAAGAGTTGAAAAGAAAACCAGAGGAACTTACACAGGAATACACGAACGTGCACTTGGGACTCCTGACTCAAAGGACCAGAAGAGGATTCAGGTAGCCCTTTTGGGTTACTTATTTATTCACTGCCTGCAGTTCTGAACAGAATCTTACTTTGGGCCCTGCTCATGCAGAGACAGAGGGCTGGGTCAGGGCATCCCACATTTTCTCTTCCAGCAACAAATCCTAGCCTAGACTATTCCCCTAAAGCTGAGAAAGAAAATACTTGACCTCCCAAAAGAGTTCCCACTCCTCTGATACCTCTTGACACTTATTTTATTTCATTTCTGAGGATCATTTTCCCACATGACAGGTGCACAAACAGGGTAGCAAACAGGGTAGCAAACAGCATATTACACACACACACACAAACACACTCCACTTTCAAACTGATGACCTTCTTGTGTGCTGCCAAGCAGCCAAAGTTAAAACCATGGAGGAAAAAAAAAAGACTTCAAAGTGAATCAGAGAGTGGTGCTTATCCAGGCTGGAACGGGGGGCACAGGGCTCAAAGATTCAGCAGGGACCAAAGAGTTCAGGCCTTGGAAACTCCTGGGCTAGAAGCAGAGGGAACATCCCAGCACTGCACATGCCCACTTCACCAGAGGGAGAACCCCTTTCCTTTGCTCCCAGTCCCACAGCCACCACCCTCAGCAAATGCCAGCTAATGGGAGTTCCCAAATTTAATCAAGCCATGTGTACAGCTGCTTTGAGGGAGAAGTGAGTGGAACCCTTCAGATGTTTCCAACAACGTGGATGGCCAATGATTACGTGCACACCAGACATTTTCTAAGGCTCCTGAAACCTTCCTCCTTTGACCAAATGGCCTTCGGAAGAAATAATTTCTGCCGTCTTCTTTCTGAGTAACTTTGCATCCAACCCACCCTCCAAAACTGCTTCAAACTCCCCCTCAAGTTCTGTTGGAGACAATGTTACAACTCGCCAGAGATGACTCCTCCCCCGACCCCTCTCCTCACCTTCCCACCAAGATTCAAGAGTATTTTCCCACACCACTTGTGTGTGCTCATCCAGGCATATTTTCTGTTATCTTTTTACACGTTTCAGGCCTGCAACAGCTCCCTGCATCAAACGATTTGATTGGAAACGGGGAGCTCAATGGGGATTTTTTTTTTTTTTTTTTGCCTCTTGCCTCCTGACGTGTATACCACTGAACTAAAACAAAAACAAAAACATAAACAAAATCCAAGGGGCAAAAGCGGGGCTGGAAAGGAGGCCGAGGGCAGAAGAGGTCTATATTTATAGGCAGCCCCATTCTGCGAGCAAAAACCACCTTTGACCACCTGCAGAATGCGCAAGGTCACGTGGGTTCTCTGCAGCGCCTTAATGCCTTACCCAGCACACAAGCCCCCGTGGCATATAAACAAATCCACAAGCGGAAAAAAGAGAGAACTCACTCCTCAGAGAGGAAGCGAATGATAATAACAGCCGCAAGAATAATAATACATAAGGAATCACAATTACTACTACTACTACCACCACCCAGCCAAGCGTAGACGACAGCGGTACAGTAAAGGGGCAACCAGAGCAGGCTTTGCAAAGAAGATAAATCACAGAAAACCAAATCGTGCCCACCTTGCTACCCTCCCACACCCTCCCGCCCCCCAACAAACAGAATCAAAGGAAAGGGGGTGGTGGGGAACAAGGAGAGGGAAGGAAAGCTTGCTCCCCCCCCACCCCAGGCAACACCTACCTCCAGGGTCCGGATCTCTTTTTGTGTGAGGTCGTTGGAGGTGGCACATTTGGTCCTAAGCCCTTCCAGGTTGGAGATGCTCAGGTCTATCATGTTTTGGACCAACTCGCACTGCTGCAAGGCTTTTTGCAAACTCAGAGGTTGCTGCTCCTCGCTTTTCGTCATGTTTTCCTCATCCATCGCTTGCTCGGCAAGCCCCCTTCCCCTCCTCCTCCTCCCAGAGAGAAAAAAGGGGGGGGGGAGTAGAGGTAGTCTACCCCCTACGCTCTCCAGCCACTGCGACTTCTCAACAATGTCTCAGGAAGAAGAAACCCAACATCTCACACAGGGTTGAGGGGGTGGGGTGGGAGGAGGCGACAAGAGCCAAAATTTATTATTTTATTTCGGGGTATCAAGCAGACTCCATTAGAATGTCTCCTCTCTCTGAGTCTCTGGTCCCTGAAAAGGAGGGATGCTGTTTCTCAGAAGCAAACCAGGTGATGTGATGCTGTCTGTACACTTGGGGGGGGGGAGGAGGAGGAGGAGGAAAAAGAGAGGAGGAGGAGGAGGGGGAGGAGGAGAGGAGAGGAGGAGGGAGAGGAGGAGGCGAGGGCAAACAGCGCTCACTCTTTACACACCGGCTCCGTGAAGGACAAATATATATTTTTGGCTGGCTGGCTTTTATGTCAAAAAAAATCTGCTTTGCCCCCCTCCCAGTTGCAGTGACACGGCATCGTCCACCGTTTGGGGTGCTTTAGCGCGTCCTCAAGATGCTGTCCGCATTGCTCCCGCGGCTGCGGCGGCGACTGCGGCTGGCTGCTGTCTCCTCCTCGCGCTGCTGCTGCCGCCGCCGGGCTCCGGGGCTGACGGCTGCTGCATTCGCTCCTGCCTCGCTCCGCACCGACATCTTGCCTGTCAATCAAAGGGCGGGGGGGAGCGAGCGAGCGCCGGCGAGGGATGGAGAGCGAGCGAGGGACCTGCGGGGAGCGGGTTGGTGGAGCGGCGCCGTGCGCGCAGCCGCCCCGGCCCGGCGCGCCAGGGACCCGCCGGAGGAGGCGGCCGCGGCGCGCGCAGGCTCGCGCACCTGCCCGCGGAGGGGCCGGCTGCCGGCGCGGCCCGGGGCGCGGGATTCGCGGGGATGCGGAGCTCGCGTGGCAGAGTGCAGTTACTACCCGGCGTGCGTGCGTGCGTGCGAGCCGGCGGGCGGGGGCGCGGGGGAGGCGCGCGCGGCGGGGGAGCCGGCGGGGAGTGCGCCTGGACGCGGGGGCTGGGCGCGGGGGCGGGAGGGGGGGTGGGGGTGGGGGCCACTACTAACTACGGCACGCTCTCGCGAGACGAGGCCGGAGTACTGCTCAGCAGGTGCGCTCGGGCTGGGAGCAGGTGTGCACCCAACTTTCAAACCCTTGGTGCGTGCTGGAGAAACGTCAGCGTGAACCTGGGCACGTCCTCTCTGGCTTTCTGGCTCGTGGGATGTGTGTGTAAAACGAAACAAACCCGATCATCTTCCTTGAGTCCTGTGTGTGTGCGTCTGCCTGCCTGTCTTTTCGTTCGTTTGTTCTTTCTTGTTACTGGGGAAAAATAAAACAAACCTGATCATCTTCCATGAGCAGTAGGAAGCTGCCTCCCAGAGTGCGTGCGTGTGCGTGTGCGTGTGTTCATTTGTCCTTTCTTGTTACTGGCACAAAGTAAAACAAAACTGGTCATCTTCTGTGGACTGTAGAACACTGCCCACTCCCCGAATTGGCCCTGGACTTCAGTTACCCTGAGGGATGGCTTTTCCTTTTGGAGGGGGAAAGGGGCTTTGCCTTAATCTGATTGTTACCATGCCCTACGTGTCCTGCACGATCTGATCCCAGCCTACCTAAACGACCTTATCCCAGCAAACTGTGGCCCCAGAGCTAAGAATGGTTTTTATATTTTCAAAAGGTTGGAAAAAAATCAAAAGATTTTGTGACGTGTGAAAATTATAAGAAATTCTAATTTCAGGGTCCATAAACAAAGTTTTATTGGACCACTGCCACCCATTTGTTCTATGTCCGCGTTTACTGCTGTGTTGTAACAGCACAAGTGAGTAGTTGCAACAGGCACTGTATGACTTGTAAAGCCTAAAATATGTGCTATCTGGCCCTTTCCAGAAAAGTCTGCCCACCTCTGACCAAATCACCAAACATGTTCTTGCGTCAGAGTTCTCTGCTCTCTATATCCCCTCTGCCCAGACCACATCTCCCTCGAATTCTCTCCTGGTTGGTTCCTTGTCACTTGGTGTCGACTCAAATGTCATCCCAGAGAGGCTTCATCTTCCTGATACTGGTACTCCCAACACACATTGCTCAAAGGATGTATTTAGGATAATTAGCAAAAGGCTCCTCTTTCTCCAGGTAAACAGAGCTCCACTCCAGGCAACTGGTTTATGGAGCAGAGTGACTCAGAACACATGGTACAATGTGTCCCTTAAAGGAAGCCACTTGAGAAGTAAAGAGAATGACAGGCAATGATGACAAACTTTTTTTTTTTTTTTTAGATATTGGGCCATGAGGTTTTACAGTTCATACAGAGCTAAATTAGCATTTTCAAAATCCCTCTGTCGTTGAGGAGCTCAAGTGAGTTCTCTATGTCTTCACTCTTTTGGACTATGAAGCTCTTGGTTTGTGCTCTCTCGCTCTCTCTGTCAAATAAATAAATAAAATCTTTTTTAAAAAATTCGCTTTTCATCTCTTTTCTCCTTCTTTTGTTTTGTGCTCTTGAACAAATATTAATCATGGTTATTTTAAAGCCCTGGTTTTAGTCCAGTACTGTGGTCACCTGAACAGTCTGTTTCTATTGCCTGTTTTTCTATTTGTTTTCAGGGATTTGGTCCTGTCTCTTGGCAGGCCTTGTAATTTTTGTTGAATGCCATACCACATCTGTGTATGAAAAAATATATATATAAAGTCTCCAGGTGATCTCTAACTCTGGAGAGGGCTCACCCTTTCTCTGCAAGCAGATGGCATGGGGGCTGAGTATCTTAATCCAGTCAGGGGCTGAGCTGGGTGGAGGCTGGGTTGCAGTTTTGATAAGAGACCGATCTAACTGGCTCCCACCTCTAAGGCTTTGCCTTTCAGAGATTCCAGCTGAGAACTTTAGGTGTTCACTGAGGCCCCTTCCCCTGGTCCTGTGCTCTAATCCTTTTAGTCATAACATGGGAAGAATGCTGGACACTCTTCTCTTTTTCAGGGGCTTTCTGTTTGGCTTCTAGCCTCTTGGCCTGCACTGTTTCAGAATCTGCCAAATATCGAGGGGAAAACCGTTTTCTACCCCTCCCTTCTCTCTAGGATAGTCCCTAATTTTGTCTCTCCAGCCCTAAGACACTGCCAAAATTCTGCTGGTTTCTCTGTGCCCCCAGCAGGGGCATCCTTGCCTGGGAAAAGTCTAGATTCCAAGTGCCCAAATTTGCAAATGCCCCAGGGAAAAAGTGGCTGCGGTTTGTCAGCTCACCTCAACATCATTCCAGAATCTTGGTCCCTCTAGTTCTGGTTGCTTCAGCAGCTCTCTGAATGCCTTTAAGTAGGTGATGATGATGATGATGATTTGATTTGGCTTTTCTGGTTGTTCTCAGATAAAGTAGAAGTCTAAAAAATGAAAGTAACCCATAGTTCAGAAGTCATCAGCTGGCAGGGCTATAAGCAGCCCACAAAGGCATTCTTTTTGCCCCCCCCCCAACCACCATGCCTTTTCAATTAATTGCTATAGTGGACATTTGTTATACTTTGCATCCGTACAGCCCCCTTTGAATATCTTTCCTATGTTTGGAAAATGCCCACCTTATGAGTCCCACGTCTCCATAAGAGAAACCAAAGCACTCTTCCAGAACCTTCCTTGCAACCAAGTTTCATGTGATCTGGGCTCGACCATTACACACGTCACATGAGATTTATACTTGGAAGTGAGCCGGGTGTCCTGCCCCTGTGTAAGCGTGGGGTCTGTGCTGAGAGGCATGGCATGGCATTCACAGGGGCAGTCCGATGGTGTGGCTTGGGCATCATTCCCAGCTGGACAGTCCAAGCCTAGCACTCTTGCCCTCCTGGAGATTCTATAGGCTTTCTAACCACCTGTCTTAGTCTGCCTTGGCTGACATAACAAAACACCACTGATGGGTGGCTTCAACGACAGAAATTTATTTTTCTCACAGTTCTGGAGGCTGGAGATCCGTGGTGCCAGCACGTTCGGGTTCCAGTGAAAGCCTCTTCCTGGATGTCAGAGCACATCTTCTTGCTGTGTCCACACAGAGCAGGCATGGCTCACATGGCTTCCTCTTCTTAAAAGGCCATCGCCCTTTTGAATTAGGGCCTCACCCTTGGCTTCACCCAACCCTAATTACCTCCTAAACGTTGTAAAGGTCCAATGGGGGTTAAGGCTCAAACGCGTGAATTTGGAGGGGACCCAATTCAGTCCATAGTACCTCCCATTAAAGCACTGGTACTTGAACCACCTGGAGTACATTGTGTCGTTTGCAACAAAGAACGCTGACTAATATTCTTACCAATAATGCCAAAATCAGGAGACACTACCAAAAAATGGAGATTTCTGGCATTTCTGGGAAAATCAGAAGACTTGGCCTCATTGGGCAATAGTTGGTTAGATTTGAGAGACAGCTGTCCCTTTCGGATGGGACACAGGCTCTCCAGTTCACCATGGGCCCCACCTAAACCCCTTCATTCATTATGTTTCCTGCCCGGCCCCTGTTGGCATTTGCATTGGTTGCCCCTAGTATAGCTTAAGGTGGTTTGCACCACAGATCAATAGAAATCTCACCAATTTCAAGCTTGGAGAACTGGAGCTGACTGCTGTGCGTTGCGCTGTGGTTGCTAGGTCTTCATTCTGGAAACTGCATGGCACTTTGGATGCTGCATGTCTCACAGCGCCTTTATCAATAGTGGGAATAAATTATTCTTACTGGGCTATGAAATTAGCTGAGTTTGGAAATATCACTTCAGACCCTATAGCTCTGAGTTTCAACTATAAGAAGAGTCTCAGAAGTCCAGTCCAGTCCAATCAAAACTCTATTCTCATATGCGATTTAATACCTCTTCCCCAAGCCCCTCCAGTCTGACCCACAAGTGACTGAGGAATCTGCAGTGGAGATGAGGCAGGTGTGTCCTCTCCTGCCCCTTCCCAGCTCACCTTGCCAGAGTATAGGAGCAGGGCAGCTGCTGAGAACAGGT